ACAGAGATAGAGTTGAGTCGAACACGTGAGACGTTCGTTGTGAATTATAGCGTTTGTTATAGCGCGACTGTGGAAATTAAGTGTATTGCAAAGTTGTATTCAAAAAAAATAAACCAGTTTTATTTAAAAAAGGACTTGTATCGCTAAAGTTTCTTCGAAAAGAATTTTTACGGAAAATTAACTAACGACCAGAAACGTAACAAATTGGTGTCAGAGAGTGGGACAAAAAAAAATGGAAACGAGAAGTGACAAATCAAACTACAGCTTAGCAGACTTGATGGCAGCAATACAAGAGCAGAAAAGAAACAAGAAGAACGAGAAAATAAACAAGAAGAACGAGAAGAGAAATTACAGTAGTGGTTGGAGGAAAAAGAAAAGAAACAAGAAGAGAAATTACACCAGTGGTTGGAGGAAAAAGAAAAGAAACAAGAAGAGAAATTACACCAGTGGTTGGAGGGAAAAAGAAAAGAAACAAGAAGAACGAGAAAATAAACAAGAAGAGAGATTACAGCAGCTGTTGGAGGAGAAAGAAAATAAACAAGAAGAATGAGAAAATAAACAAGAAGAGAGATTGCAGCAGTGGTTGGAGGAGAAAGAAAAGAAACAAGACGAGAGACAACAGCAGTTGCAAGAAAACCTGCAACAGTGGCAGCTTGAACAACAAAATAAACAAGAGAGATTACAGCAGTTGTTGAAGGAAAAAGAAAAGAAACAAGAAGAACGAGGAAAGAAACAAGAAGAGAGACTACAGCAGTGGCAACTGGAACAAGAAAGGAAACAAGAAGTACAAATGGAAAACATCATTAAATTTCAAAGCGAATTAAATGCATTAAATGATGATCTATTGTCTTTTACACAAGGAGGATACATTAACCATCGACTTAATCAGCCCCAAACAATGGGAAGCCCCTTCCAGACCCCGCAGCTAAACCTTAATGCAGACATCTTCAGTCCTGTTAGAAGTCACATCCCAGATATGAATGTCAGCAATAGAGGTGATCCAGTACAAAGGAAGCCATAGGAATTCAATGGGAAGGCACCATGGGAAGCATATAGAGCACAATTTGAGCTACTGGCAGAGATGAATGGATGGACAGAGGAGCAGGAAACAGTATATCTGGCAACGAGCTTGAAAGGACAACCACTGGAAATACTTGGACAGTTGTCAGCAGACGACAGACACAACTATAGAGCACTGGTAGCGGCTCTAGAACTCAGGTATATAACCCAAAATCAGTCAGAAGTCT